GCCGCGTGGGAGCACTAGAGCGGAATTCGGCATCTGCGGCCCAGGTGGTGCCGCGAGGTTCTGTGATGTAGAACCACTTCTTTTGCCATTCCTTTACTGTCTCTATAAAGGTGCCTTTGGGCCAAGAGATGTTGGATAGCTTGCTCACCATGGCCCCTCCGCACTCTGCGTGCTGACCATCCACCACCTTCGGCTTCACGTTGAAGACTTTGAGCCACAGCCCGAAGTGGGGATGGATGCGGAGGAAGGCCTCGCACACGATGATAAACGCCGAGATGTTGAGGAAGGAATTCGGGGACAAATCATGGAAATCTATCTCGCAATAGTACATCAGCCCGCGAACGAAAGGGTGGAGTGGAAACCCTAGCCCACAGAGGAAATGGGGGATGAAGACTACTCTCTCTGTGCGCTCCGGCGTGGGGACGACTTGTCCCTCGGCTGGCAGACGATGGGCGATCTCCTTCGCCAAATATCCGGCCACCCGGAGCTCAGTAATGTCCTCCTCCTTGACGGAGGAGACCATCCACTTGCCCTGACCACCAGATCCGGACATGGTTGCTTGAGGGGAAAGGAGATGGGAACTTGGGCGCTGGAGCTTGAGATCGGAAGGGCGAAGATAGAGAGAAGGCGTGAGGAGAGGGAGGGGGAATCCTTATCCCCTTAATAAAGGCAGTCGATATTAAATGCCCCTCACTCACCTTAGGATTTGCCTGTTCCCTAGGGCTGTATAAACGGCACGGTTGAGTTACACATGCCCGCATTGATGAGAATCCCATAATAAGGGGACACAATCTCTGTTTCGACAAGACGTGCCAATAACAACCGCGTCTCAAAACGTGGGATGGCAGAAGAAAAACGGTTCGAAATTATAACCGGACAGACGCAATGTCGTGTTGGAAAGAAGCTGTCAATAGATATGATTCGTGCAAATATTATATTCTCTCTGCAGTTGTGTATGGTGTGCGTAACAGGTCAGGATATGATCACTGCATCCGAAGACTATCTTGGAGTTCGGAGAAAGGGGAACCCGCCGTGCAATGCCGAAGACAAATCTGCACGCCAAACTCCTCATCATTGAAGCCAGGTTCAGGGGCTACTGAGGGAGTCCTGGACTAAGGGGTCCTTGGGCGTCCAGCCTGTTATCTATGGGCCGGACTAATGGGCTCTGAATACATGAAGACCGAAGACTGCACCATGTCCGGATTGGACTCTACTTGGCGTGGAAGGCAAGCTTGGTGACCGAAGATTGCTTCTTATGTAACCGACTCTTTGTAAACCCTAGATCCCTTCGGTGTCTATATAAACCGTAGGGGATAGTCCGAAAAGGACACCACATATAATCATTACCATATTCATAGGCTAGATTTCTAGGGTTTAGCCATTACGATCTCGTGGTAGATCAACTCTTGTAATACTCATATTCATCAAGATCAATCAAGCAGGAAGTAGGGTATTACCTCCATAGAGAGGGCCCGAACCTGGGTAAACATCGTGTCCCCTCTCTCCTGTTACCATCGATCCTAGACGCACAGTTCGGGACCCCTACCCGAGATCCGCCGGTTTTGACACCGACAGGGGGCACCACATAGACACACAAGTTGATCTCTTAGTCGTGTGCGGTGCCCCCCTCCACAGGTTTCCACCTCGGTCATATCGTTGTAGTGCTTAGGCGAAGCCCTGCATCGGTAATTTGATCATTACCGTCATCACACCGTCGTGCTGACAAAACTCTCCCTCGACACTCAGCTGGATCTAGAGTTCGTGGGACGTCACCAGGCTGAACGTGTGCAGATCGCGGAGGTGCCGTACGTTCAGTGCTACGGTCGGTCGGATCGTGAAGACGTACGACTACATCAACCGTGTTGTCATAACGCTTCCGCTTTCGGTCTACGAGGATACGTAGACATACTCTTCCCCTCTCGTTGCTATGCATCATCTAGATGGATCTTGCGTGTGCTTAGGAATTTTTTTTGAAATTAATGTGTTCCCCAACACCTGTGTTTGGTGTCTTCTCTTGATGAATGAAAAGAAGCAATGCTGCATTTTGTCAATCAGGACCACCGCCGCCAGCGAGAAGAATGTTGCACCTAAACGAGGGGAACGCAATGCTGATGGATCGGGTGGTGGCGGTGAAGCGCAGCGCCGCGTGCTTGCATAGGCACATCACATGGATTTGGTGTCTTCCGACAAGGTAGAGCATGATGCCCGTTGTGATAAGGAATAATGTGGCTAGGCTGGAGATGGGAAATACATGCTTAATTGCATCATGCGCAGGTGAACTTCTCCAGTTCCAATTTATGCACATGTTGGTCTTTTTTCTCAGAACTCTTAAGAAATAGGATGATTTGATTATTTTAGAATTATGGTCATTTAAAATAGTTTGCTTGATATTGATGATCTTGATTTGTGGATGGTGAAAAGACCAAGGTTCAGAGATTACAGTAGACCAACATTCAAAGATTACAGTAGATGATGATATGTTTTAGTTTTAGCATGCATTTGTCTACTGCTTGTGAATTGGTGACATGCCTTGGTTTGATTCTCTTTTGCATGATCAAAAGCTTGTTGGTTTGTTAAACAATCGTTCGGAGAATACATACCAACATATGGCTTTGCTTCTACCAACGCACTGTAACCCAATCCAAGTGTTTGTGTGGCTTGAAGTGAAACTTCCGTCGGAGATTGCAAGGGCCTTGTTCCGCAAACCGGTTCAGCTACAACGTGCCATGGACCATGTTTGTTGATCTGGGACCCACTATCTGGTGCTAAAATCATTGCATGTCATAGTTCTGTTGTTGATATAATCTAGCTTGAGATTTGAACTGTGTATTCATAGACTGATACACTGGGGAACGGATAGAGGAGAGGGAGTTCTCGGAGACGAAGGAGGAACTGGTGCGTTGGAGGAGTACTATGAGGTCGGAGCTGAGGGTGAATACAATGAGGAGATCATAGTTGCCACTCAAAGGTTCCATTACCTTTATCCGTTTCACTTAATTGTCTATTTGATTCATCTACTTGCATTTTTATCCGTGGCAACGCACGGACAATTTCCACATAAACATCCTTACCGCAAAAAAATCATTTGTTGAGACGTGTGGCAATAGAGCGGAAGATGCACAGGACACACGTCAGATGCCACAACCTGACCGAAGGGCCCCAACCGGAAACATGTCCGCTGTCGTTTCCTCTAGTCCTTCCCTTTCCCAGGGCCCCAACGAACGGACGGCTCGCTCTCCCGGCACGAGGAAAACCACGAGCCCTGCGCCCTTTCGCCCCTGCCCCATCATCGAGAAACTGACGGCTCCCGTGCCGCCTCCCATCCCCACGCGAGGGCCCGGCGCTTCACCATCGCGATTCACGCTCCCGTCTCGGCACATCCGCCTCCTCCCGAACCGAGCCCGACGCAACGCGCCGGTGGCGGTACGGTGGCGGTGCCCCGCCCCAGTTTGTCGCCGCGCGTGGCGCGGGCCATGTGGCACTGGCGCACGGGAGCCAGCCGCTACCCGTGCGACACCTCCCCCTCCCCCTCCCCGCCGCAGGAAGGATATTTCCTGCCGCTCACCGCCCGCCGAACACTTCTGCTTCTACTTCTACTTGAGCGGAGCCTGCTGCGTTCCCAGTTCCCCACTGCCACCAGCCACTTCGCCTGCGCCGCGGTTCCCATCAACGCCTAGCTCGAGAAGGTACGCACTGCGCTCCATTTTCTCCCGCGGTCTCATTGGCATGCTCGATCTCCGGGGCAGTTCTTGGTTCTGCCATTGCTGTTAAGGCAGAGGAACGGGGGTTTCCAAGAGTTTAATGTTCTGAACACCATGGAGTTTCCCTGTCAAGGGCCCATATATAATCTCGGCAGCACTCGATAGTTTCCTTCTACATTCTCACCCGTCTTTGCTGCCTGACATGCTCCTACGACCTTGGTTTCATAGTTCTGACAGTGCTCCAAAATGTGCACCCTCTTCAGAGGGAGTTTACTTTGCCCGAGTTTGTTGGTGTTATGGAAGCCACTAGTGACCAGTCTTTATGTTTTATGCTTTCGTGCTAGCAAGTCATTTAGGTTCTTCTGGAGCAGTACAAGTTTTTGTTGATCTCTGCTCGGATGCCCTCGTGATTTTATATTTTTACCATGTCAGGATGTTGTGATGTACTGTTCTCCACCATGCAGATTTCTTGACTTAGCATTTGCATTTGAGTACACTGCTATTTGATTCCGGAAGGAAGAAAATTCCGGGGTGTTAATGTTACCGTGTCCACGAAACATTGTACCTGACTGAGGCTTGAACATGAAGGTGTGCTGCTAGGATACTGACATTTATCACTTACATTACATGGTTTGCGCACCAAATTACTCAACTAAAATTCATTTGTATATCTATATCTGTAATATCGGTTACTGCCTATGTGCATTGTATTTGTCGTAAAACATTTGTATCTGTCGATATGCACATTGGGAACAGACTAGTGTCCTGGGTATACGGGCGCTGTTTAACCTCCCTGTTCACCTGGGTTCTATTCCGACGGCTGGTTTGGGTGCCCTTTGGTTCCTTGAATGCTAGGGCTCCTGGGCAGTTAATAAGAAAATTAAAAGCCTGTGCATTGTCTTGAAGAACTCATCAACAAGGCAAAATGTTTTTTTCTTTCGAAAAAGCATGTACAATTATCGATAAGAACATATCTGTAATGGAGCTTCCTTTTTGCCTTTCAACCTTGCAATTGTAGCACTAACAATAATATCCCTGACACGCTCGAATGAGAATTGGGTTCACAGTATGCAAGCAGTTAGCACGTTCATGTGCCACATCGTAGTACTCTTTTATTTCAGAAAATGACATGTATATTTGTGGCATTATAAATACTTGTTATCAGCATAGTAGTGCTGCTTTACATTCAGAATATAAGTTAGAAAAAATATATTTCCATGTTTCTCTGAAGCAGAAGTTCATCATGACCCTTTTTCTATCATATGCCATTCTGATAGGTCGTCATTGAGAGGCTGCCAAATGGGTTCAATTCCTACTTATTGTTCTTATCAGACAAACAGTGTTGGTTCACTGAAACTATCACCTCACATCCAATTACAACAATCTTGTAACAATGGAGTTATGTTATTATCCATGCGGAATAAGACACAGCTGGCCAAAAGAAGAGCCACAAATTATGGAACTCATCGTAATTCTAGTCGGACTCCGGCACCTATCGTATGTTCAACTGGAATGCCCATAATTTTCGTTGCCACTGAAGTGCACCCATGGTGCAAAACTGGAGGCCTTGGTGATGTTGTAGGAGGATTGCCCCCAGCTCTGGCTGTAAGTATTCCTTGTCACGTACTGTTAATTCTGAAACACATTATTTTTTATTGAGACTGCACTTTTATCACCCTCGGTCTGTTGTACTATCTTTGGTGTGATGCACAACCCATATTTTCATAGGCAATGGGACACCGGGTTATGACGATAGCTCCTCGCTATGATCAGTACAAGGATACATGGGATACAAATGTTCTTGTTGAGGTATATGGTTTTAGTTGATTTGTTGGGTATTACTGTATTATTTAGCTCGCATTTAACTTATACCAGTTACTGGTGTTATATATGCTAAAAACAGTTTTGCTTCTTTAGGTGATTGTTGGTGACAGAACAGAAACAGTGCGCTTTTTTCACTGCTACAAAAGGGGAGTTGATCATGTTTTTGTTGATCATCCTATGTTTCTTGAGAAGGTCTGTTATAAGTTTTAACCACTTTCTTAATGCCCACTGAACAATATATACATTTATCTTAACCTTGCAATGTTCCACTTGAACCATAATAATACTTCAGGTATGGGGCAAAACTGGATCAAAATTGTATGGGCCTACTACTGGAACAGACTTCCGAGATAACCAGTTACGGTTCTGCCTTTTGTGCCTTGTAAGTATCCTGTTTAGTTCGAATTTCATGTGACTAGCACCTCACTTATGTAATTTACAAACCATTTCAATGCTGTGGCCTGTAGCATAAGCTACGTTCAGCCCCTCAAATCATAAAATTACCAACCCTTGTTTTAGCGGAATTAATGGTATGTGTTGGTAGCATTGAAGTGCCTAAATGAGTCTTAACGGTTACCGAGGATAGTACATTCACATCAATTGAGTTTTTTCTACTTGATATGTTTGTGGAACTTCTTCTAATCTGATATCGCTTTTAGGCTGCATTGGAGGCTCCGAGGGTTCTTAATCTCAACAATTCTGAATACTTCTCTGGACCATATGGTAGATTTATGTATTAGATCAACTATTATGGTTAATTATTCTCTCTAACTAACTAAATAACAAACATTCACACTCTTTCACCAGGAGAAAATGTTGTCTTTGTTGCAAATGACTGGCACACTGCAGTTTTGCCATGCTATTTGAAGAGCATGTATAAGCAAAATGGAATTTATGAGAATGCCAAGGTGCACCATTTCCTTCCTTTTGTTGACAAGTAGGGAATGTGCATCATAGGTTTTATGCTTCACAGATTTCCCATCCTTATTTTGATCGGTGAATAGTTGACCTGTAGGTTGCTTTCTGCATTCACAATATCGCCTATCAGGGCAGATTTCCCAGAGCGGACTTCGAACTTCTTAATTTACCTGAAAGTTTCGTGCCTTCATTTGATTTTGTTGATGGGTATGAACCTTCATGTTGTGTTGTTTTGATAGAGATATAGTATGTTGTACTAGTTTATTTGAAATTGACAAGTACCATAATGTGTGCAGGCATGTTAAGCCAGTAGTTGGGAGAAAGATTAACTGGATGAAGGCAGGGATCAGTGAGTGTGATGTGGTCCTTACAGTTAGTCCACATTATGTTAAAGAACTCACTTCTGGTCCAGAGAAAGGTGTTGAGTTGGATGGTGTCCTTCGTGCAAAGCCTCTTGAAACTGGAATTGTAAATGGAATGGATGTTGTTGATTGGAATCCGGCAACAGATAAGTACATCAGTGTCAAATACAATGCAACTACGGTAAGGTTTCAGTTTCTCCTCCTTTACCAGTTACCGCATATGGATAATTCAATACTTACAGAGGGCATTTCTCAGGTGGCAGAAGCAAGAGCTCTCAATAAAGAAATACTGCAAGCTGAAGTTGGATTGCCGGTGGACTCTAGCATACCTGTTATAGTTTTCATTGGTCGTCTTGAAGAACAGAAAGGGTCAGACATACTAATTGCAGCCATTCCGGAGTTTGTCGAGGAGAATGTTCAGATAATTGTTCTCGTATGTTTATTTTGAAAGAGAATTCTAATGCACTCATACGGCATGGCAAGAGATAGAAGATGATCGTTGCTTAGCTAAATTGCGTTGTGCTCTTCAGGGCACAGGGAAGAAGAAAATGGAGGAGGAACTGATGCTGCTAGAAGCGGAGTACCCACAGAATGCCAGAGGCATAGCAAAATTCAATGTCCCGTTGGCGCACATGATGTTCGCCGGGGCTGATTTCATAATTGTTCCAAGTAGGTTCGAGCCATGTGGCCTCATCCAATTGCAAGGGATGAGATATGGAGTGGTAAGCGTTCTGACTCGATCAATTAGACGTTAAATTTGACCGCACAAGTATTGATTGTCCCAGTTAACAGAGTCATTGATATTGCATTTTACAGATTCCTATCTGTTCATCCACCGGAGGACTTGTTGACACGGTGAGGGAGGGTGTTACCGGATTCCACATGGGTTCGTTCAATGTAGAGGTAAAGAACAATATAGGCTTGGTCTAAGTATTTGCTCACAAATGTCGATGCATTGATGATTGATAGCCTTGATCTGTCCTCTTGTAGTTTGAAACCGTCGATCCAGCAGATGTCGCGGCAGTCGCTTCGAATGTCACGCGAGCTCTGAAACAGTACAAAACACTGTCGTTCCACGCAATGGTTCAGAATTGCATGGCGCAGGACCTATCATGGAAGGTGGGCAGAACTGTCAATTAAGTTCCTATTTGCCCTTTAACATGAATGAGTTTCTTCTCTGTCGAGACAAGGATAAATTGATCCTCTCTTCGTGTGATCCAGGGACCGGCAAAGAAGTGGGAGGAGGCTCTTCTTGGGCTAGGAGTCGAGGGAAGTCAGCCGGGCATCGAGGGCGAGGAGATCGCTCCAGTTGCAAAACAGAATGTGGCCACTCCCTGAAATCTCCAAATATTAGGGAGAGTGTTCTAAGATTCGACAAAATAATGAGGTTCCTAAAGATGAAGCTGTATTCATCTAGGCTTTGCAATTTCTCTACTACTCCATGTGCAACAAAATACCTGAATTTCAACAAGACAAGTATGCATCCTTATGTAGGTCGTGGGATCTAGGTTCTCAAGTAGTGGTCCATCTGGCTAGCAGGTACCGCCAGCTTGTAGTATCTGGGGTGATAGTTTCGTGGCTTTGTGCCATTTGCCTTCGTTCTGCCAAATCAAGAACTCCCTCACCAAAATTGCCTAATAAGTTTACTTAAAGCAAGAAATAGAATAAACCGGCACCGCTTGTGCAACAGATTTCACCAGTATCTCCTTACCTGTGACGATAAAGTTTTCTCAATCCATCCCTTCACCTTTCTCCACAACCTGTGTTTCAAGTACTTGAATGCTTACTATTACGTGTCTTGAGAATGTGTGAATCAAAGAGGGCCCTAGCTGTGAGTTTTGTCAAAAAAGAAGGGCCCTAGCTGTGAGTGTGGGTAAAGTATATAGGTTAAGTCGTTATCTCGAAGAATCTACTACGAAAAGATGCACGCAACCGGCAATACGTTATGCCAACAACCAATCCACAATTTAAAAACCAGGTTCTTATCATGATTGTCGTTTTACTGTCTAAAAAAAAACTTACTTAAATCAGCTAGACTGCATCATCTCTGCCACCCCCTATCACTGGTTAGCTAGAAATGACAACGACTCACATAAGAAGACACGCAAAGCAAGCCTAGCTTATTTAGAACTCGGGAAGAAGATATAATTTTACTTGTGCTGATCCGCTGGCATGAACCATTCACATGGTGCGATTGTTCTCTTGACGATTAGAAATATAAGCCTAGATTCCAGCATCCCAACTAATGATGTCAGCTGTATATATAGTATTTACGAACAAGCATAGACCAGGGACCAAATGTGGCGATAACTCTATTGTACATGCCTTGGTGACCCTTTCTTCAAATTCTTTGTGTTTTTGCAGCACTGGCAGTCTGGCACCCGCTGTCTAGGTAGCGCGACCGTGAGTGTCCGAGTCTTGTGTTGGATGCACTACATGCTACTGCTCGACGCCTCACCTTGTAGCACGCTACTTGACTATGTGGCCACTTGGTGGTCTTTTTTCTTTATTTCTCTTATGCTTTTTTTGGGTGTGTTTGTGTTGATGTCTCAGCAGAATATTTTATTTCGTTGCACTTGAACACGTTGTATGGACATGGTGTTGGCTTTATTATTAAGGCGAGGCGAAAATCTATTTCAAGGATGCACACACACTATTGCTAATGCAGTACAATGCAGCAAGTCGGATGAAGTACCAACACTTTGTTGAGGGAGACATTACAATCAAGTAACCGTACTTGCACATTCTTCATTTCGCATGATGTTTGAAGGTTTTGGTACCGTTGAATAGTATCTGCTTCTCTCCATCAGTTTGTATTTTTTGATAAATTAATTAGAGCATGAATTAATATGGTGTTGGATACAAGAGGCATTAAGTTCAGGACCCTGCCATCTACGGACTGAAGGAGCCTAAACCTGAGAGAAAATGTTAAAATATATTACCTGCCCTCTCCATCGGTCAAACTTTAATTCATTGGGTCTTTATTGAAAAAATGAATTTCATGGCATTTTAGGTAATACTAGCGAGATGCCCGTACGTTACACGAACATCAAGATCTTGTGAGAAAAAAGGATGAACGAGGGGAGGCCTTATCTGCAAATGTGAAGAGGAGTGCGGGTAAATTGTCATAGTTTCCTTCCTATCTGTTAGATATAGATCGAACGGCCTATATTGCAGGATGACAGGCACACTATCATCAACAACTCTGTTTTTTATAAGAGTAGAGATCTCCGTACTCTGTTTTTGGCGAAATAAAAAGGCATGCCATTATATTAGTAAGTAGTCACATCCCCAAAGAGGGCAAATTACAACAAAGTCACATATCACACGTGCCACTTGGTCACGCAGGGATATGGCACGTAAGAGGCCACACGTCGAAGGACGTCGGAAGGCATCGCGAACGCCTCTCTACCATGTAGCTTTGCCGCTGGCAACCACCATTGTACCGGGGTTATCCCCTTTTCAAAGAAAGAAAACCACCACCGTTCATGACACGTAGCCACCATCTGGAGATGAAGGTGAAGGCCGGCTTCTTAGTACTGGGCGAAAGAAAATTTTCCAAGATTTCTCTCGAACAAGGGGAAATAGCGGTCGCCAACGTGAAATATCTTGTACAAGAACATGCATTGGAGATTTGAATTTTGACACATTCTGTATTCCTTTGGCTTCGCTTCACATATAACAAAGTCAGATTCCCTGAAAAAGGGAAGTATGTAACAACTTGTCATGCACACATATACAACTTATATGTGCATGCTCTATAGAAATATTAAGGTTTACTTACTTTGAATAAACTACAACTTAAACGTATGGAGGTTGATGTATACACTTTTTACTTCCTCCATTTTCGGTGTAAGTGATTCTAGTTTTGTCTAAGTCATGGTATTTTGTTAAACTTTGACTAATTCTATAGGAAAATATACCAACATCTACAAACATCTTTATTGGGTAAATTCCTTTTGTCGAATAAAGTGTCATCACTACAAAGTCCCGTGGACCAATAGAGACCACAACCCAACCAAAAAGAGGAACCGGCCCCGTTGACACACCCTCAGCTAATAAATATGTTAACGACTAAAGACGCGATAAATCACGAGTGGACATAGTGCCACGCGAGGCTGGAATCTTAGGGGGTGTTTGTTTCCAGGGACTTTTTTGTGTAGGGACTAAAAAAAGTCTCTGTTAGAGACTTTTTTACCAAAGAAAAGGGACTTTTTAGGGACTAAACTAGGCATTTGGGACTAATGAAGAAGACTCTCAAGGAGAGTCTTTTTGGGACTTTTTAGGACTTTTCCAACAATGCCCCTCCATGCACCCATTGACCCGCCATCCCATGGTGTTGTTTGATTGTTATTTTTCTATATACTAGGGGCAACATGGTCATTTAATAACCTCTAGGAAGGGATTAGGGACTTTTTAGTCTCTGGAAACAAACAGGGAGGGACTTTTTAGGGACTAGAGACTTTTTAATTGGGGCTAGAAAAAGTCCTAGGACTAGAGAACCAAACACCACCTTAACCACACATTCCTCCAAGATGCGTGCAGTATACATACCAATAATCATGTATAAAATGCTTCAGCATTTCATAATGATAGTATTACCTTACGTATGCCGGACACCAATAACTACACCGACCCACAATTTTAAATAGGAGAGTTACTCTCCATTTATGTGGAGCAGCTGGCCAATGCTAACCTGCACTAATGACGGACTACATTTTCTTCCCTTTTCTATCCACCACACCGATCCCTTCGATAAGCCAAATACCATGGCGTTCAGGTAGGGGACGCACCTACTTGCCGCGTGAGGGCTATCTGCACTAAGCTGTATTGAACTATGACGCACAACCAAATTCCTTAGATGTATCACTTTCTTACCCAAAAAGATTAGTTGGTTCATTCTTCATAGTTAACTCGAATTATGAATAGTACAATTTGTATTTTAAAATGCAACCTTAAAAATGAAAGTACATCAATTAACAGAACATCACACAAAATTTAATAGGACAATAAAGATATATTTTTACACGGCTTAATAGAGAATACTGAGACATCACCAATATGACCTTGGTTTTGATCTCAGCTTTACAATCATACTTTGGATGTTAACCAAAAATTACAATACACATTTGTGAACAAATTAGGGACATCAAAATACACTCGCGAATTTCTAACTGAACTTTACAATATGAAAATATCTACAAGCTGTATTTAATTACCAAAATATATATGAGCAAGTTTATCATGGTTGCAGCTAAGTTCGTGTGCTCGGCCGATGATCTCTGTACTAGTAGTACTGTATTAGTCGATAAATGTATGTTTAATCAATGTGCCAGTAGTATTGCAGCTAGGCTTCTTTGATAAGTGACATCAATACTCCACTAATCCATACTATGAGTGCACTAAACAATCTACTACTAGCGTAATAAAAAGAAGAAGAACTAGAGTAACTGCACTACTCCATACCGCAGGCTGGGTGAGTAATTTTAACTAGGAACATGCCTCATTTACTACCGCCCAGGTCACAAATGTTAATTGCATTGATGGGCCCTGCACCTTGATCATAAACACACCAGTCTTTCTGCATCAAATTCAGTTACAGCCGGCCCACATCTACTTTATTAACGTTGTGTATTCGCTCACTTATCCATGTGTATTGCCGCAGTATCCAATCAATCACTATATTAAGTAAGAATCGTCTAGCAACAATCATCGGCCAGGATAACATCCTCGTGTGCCACCATGTCTCAAAAATTCGCGTCCCTAAAGACTCGATACAAATAGTGAGATGCTGAAGTATCTGCTTGGCGTCATATGCATGTATTACACAAAATATCCCCTTGCAAAATTTTTTTCCACAAAATATCGTCCCGTAGTTTGCAAGTGAGGGATTCCCTACACGATAGGCCAGCCTAGACAGATAGATATACGATGCTGTGCTAGTGCTAACACGCTCGTACTTTTCTTAAGTACGAAGGCAAAAGACCTCCTTATTGGTCTCGACAAGTACATCCCACCGGCAGCCAACGGCAACGCGCCACGTAAGGCTAAACCCAGGATCGTGGGGTGCAAAGTGGCGGCACGCATCGACCCGCACTAGCCAGGGCTCGATCGGTGCAGTCGTGCCTTCGGCGCGTGGGTGGGGTTGACCTCGGCCGAAAGTCTCCGCGCGCGCCACCGCATGGCAGACAGGGTCAGCGCCGGGCTAGATATAGATGGCCAAAGCCCGCACGGAAGCTAGCGCGCCTTGAGAGCGACCATGCACCTGGTCTGGCCGATCGGATCCACCATGGCATGGACCGATCGATGACGGGGTCCGGTGCGCCATGGCTAGCTGT